ACAGTCGCATCGAGCATCGTTGATTCGCTTTGCGCTCAGCTGTGGCTATGGCCAGGAGCCCCTAGTAGCTTCTTGTTACTAGTAGTATGGCCTAGAGCTCCTTGCTCCTAGTACTGAGGCCAGGAGTCCCTAGTAGCTTCTTGCTTCTAGTAGTAAGGCCAGGAGCCCCTAGTAGCTTCTTGTTCCTAGTAGTATGGCCAGGAGCCCCTAGTAGGTTCTTGTTACTAGTAGTATGGCCAGGAGCCCCCAGTAGCTTCTTGCTCCTAGTAGTAAGGCCAGGAGCCCCTAGTAGCATCCTTGCTCCTAGTAGTAAGGCCAGGAGCCCCTAGTAGAGTTCCGCTTTCCTTTCACGAAATTCAGAAGTTTGGCCCTGGTTCGCTGAAACTGCTGCTGCTTAAGAAGCGTGGCAGCTGGCCTAAGCGAAGCCAGCTGCACTTCGCCACGGAACGATGGAACCGTCCCACTGAAACGATCTGCGACGTCCATCGCCAGGCGTCGCCTGGGTTTCTTGGCGCAACAGGGCCCGTGCGACGGTTGGGTCGGGCGTCGACAATGTGTTATGCATATGCAAATGGTGTTGTTTATTGTCTGTTCTGCCTTAGAAAATGCACATATATATATATATATATGGTAAGCTTTTTTCTTTGTTTTGGGATGCTACATTGGAACACATGTTGGAACACTTGTAACTTGTGACGTCCAATTGGAGAATGACTATACATATAAGAACGTTCTTTGTTTTTTCACGCTCTTCAGAGAGTCACTCACTGATGGGTTCCTTTCCATCGGAGCTTCGCATCCCTTGGGGTTCGGACCACTGGATCCGTCGCTCCGTCGCGACTTCTGAGTGGAGCCACCGCGGTGGGTCTTGGACAGACAGGTTTGGATGACACGTTCCCAAAGCCTTCATGTTCCGTCGACTGGCTAGGAATCCTGGAGTTCAGGGGAGCTCAGATTTTAGATTTGTAGATAGGCAGGGGGAAGAACAATACCTTACAACACCGTACCTCAAAGCGACAATGTGCCGCTTTCAGATGGCGATGGTTAATGATGGTTAGGTCAACTAGTGTCTCTTCTGAAGTCCCTGGATGGAGGTTGCTTCACCTTGTGACTTGGACGGTTTAAAACAACAACTTTTTGTGGCCCGGAGAGTAGTCATGCTACCGAGTTTCTTGGAGTCCAATTCCTTCCCAAGCTGGTGACATTCTTGTCCTCTAGACTCATTCGTAGGCTATCGGACCCTGATGGACCCTGTGAGCTTGCCACGTGCCTTGGGAGTCGAATGCCGATGAGGAGAGAATGTGCCCATTGAGACCCTTGCAGGCCCGGTGCCGCGTGGGTTTCCAACGAAGCGGAGTTCGGCGCACCCGAGCCGCGGAAGCGATGCGCAGGCGACCGAGTGCCGCGGGCTCGGTGCGACCGGAAGACTCGGAAGGCCTCCCCAGCCACGTCAGTCGAACTCACCTGGAAAAGGCCCGGAAGATCTCCTGACCTTCTTCTTCCTTTCGGCCCATCCGCCCAACCTCCGAACCTGGAACTGAACGAATGTCACAACTCGCAGGCGCAGAACCGCGCGCGAGGCGCCAGCACGGCAGGGTCCCGGCTGCCGACCTTGAAACGCCTCATCCAGGCAGCCGACCTTCGTGGCCGTTGGTGGGCCAGTGATGGGCAAACACTCCCTGGAATCATGGTTACGTGCATGGCAAGGTCTCTTGCACCATGAAATCCGAACAAGGTTTTTGAGGTGGTGCCATCCACTCCGAAGTTTTCAGGTTCCGATGTGATTTCGATTCCCATGTCCATGTTCTTATATATACTAAAGCAGCTGCTACACTGAAGGTCTGCAACACAATTATGAGGGTTTGGACTGGCCAAGCGGCCAAGCCAGCTTGAAACATCACCAGGTGCTGCAAGAAACACCTCTTCGACCTTCAAAGGGGATTTGGAGATGGGATGGAGTCTCAAGATGGTCGAAATTCATCCCTCCTGGGTCTTCCAACATCGGTGCCCATCGTACGACTGCCCATGAACTGCAGCGACACATGTCTTCGGGATACACATTCACAGTGGTTTCCAAAGCAAGCAATCCTGAATCATTACATTGGCTCTCATCTCATCAATGCCTCCCTTTCCGGGCTAATTTGCACCATGGAGCCAGGAGAAGCCTATCGTGAGGGCTATTGAGGCGAGTGAAGTGGAACAGCGGGAGATTTCATGATCACAGGTCTTGCCACAGCTCGAAATGACACGCATACCATGGATTTTCCCAGCTGTTTAGCTTCTTCGAGCCAACTGGAAAGATGCCATTACCATTTTCTTTTTTCTCCTCAACTTTCTCTCCTTATGCCTGGTCCAGCAGGTGACTTCAACATTGTAAGACCTTGTGAGAGGGAAGACACTTGGTCCTTACGGAGTCCTGAGTCGCGAGGAACTCCGCTTTCCGATGTTCTGACGTTCATTTCCTTTCACGATCAAGGGATTTGTTGATCGGTTGATCAAGCTACATCCTCCGCCGTGGTTTCCATCCAAGCCGTTACACACCTCTTTCTTGATCTGAAGTGAACGTTCCCTGCAGAACCCAAAACCCGCAAACACGCGGTGAGTCTCGTCTCTTCGCCACACGGTCTGAGTCTCTTCGCCGTCTTCCGAGTGGAACGACGTTTCAGGTCCACAGTGGTTTCTCAGCCTTGGTGGTCGATGCGGCGGTCGCCCAACGGCGCGGGGAGCAGGTGAGGATGAAGGAACGCCGCGAGCAGCGAGGGCGTAGATTGAAGGGAGTGGAAGGGAACCTTCCCAGGGGTACCTTTGGCTGTGTAAACTTAAACATCTACCAGTTCGGCCCCCTGGAAAAAGGGGGAATAGACCAAACGCCCGTTGGGCACGGGAGTTTCCCTATGAACATACAAACTCCTTTGGGAACCCGGCCGCTGGGCCTTGTAAGAATTACCCGAAGCTCATCACGAAGTGCATGGCATGGACCCGCAAGATTGACGATTGTCCGAAGACCAAACAGCTTTATGCCATCCACTTCCATGGTTTCTCTGTTCGTCGGAGTGTGATTCGCAAGAACTTGGCGCCGTCCCAATTTGAGGCGTTTTTGATGTGCAAAGTGCCGTGTGCACGGCTGGCGCGCGCGTGGCGTGGAAATGGCGTGCGTGGCGTGGACAACTCCAGCGCCACAGGTGACTTTCGACTGCTTATGGTCTTCTTCATTGACCTCCAGTGCCATCAAAGGCGGCCAACGAATCCATGCGACCGCGTGCGGACCAGGGTGTGGAGGAGTGGGAGGAGGGTGCAACTTGTTCCCAAAGAAGTTCAGAGATGGGAGAAGTCCAGAGAAATTGAGCTCAAAAAGCCATCATTGGTCCCTTTGGGCGTCAAAAAATTGGATCCCAAAGAAGTCCCAGATGGAGAAGCTCAGAGATTGGGCTGGGCGCTAAAGAAGTCCAGAGATTTTTCGAAGTCCCAAAGTCCCAAATCACCGGATTTCCGTATCCACCAGGCTTTTTCGTGAGAATCCGCCAGCGAAGGGAGCGACCCGAAGGTCTTCTTTGATGGGGTAGAAGACTCGAGACTTGTCGTTTTCGGAACTTTTAACGGCAGCATTGCGACGCCCCAGACCTTTGAAAGTGCACATTTGTTGAGCCGAAGAAGGGATGCGGCGGCGGTTGGACAGATCTGGCCCCCAGGAGTCAGAATCCCACCATCCTCGTTGAGCATATGCGATACGCCAAGACAAGAAGTTCATACCATGCAAAGTGCAATGTGTAGATATCCAAGTTACCCCACACCGGTTGACTGGTTGCCAGTAGTGTTGATCCGAAGAAGGCACGACACATGAGTGTGTCAGTGTTATTTCTTTTAATTAGGAAGTGCATCGCTAGTAACAAGGGCATTACTATAGTAACAAGAAGCCACTAGTAGCGATGCACTTAGATACTAAGACTAGTAGATGGTCTTTTTTCCCGGAGGATCTGGTGCTTTCCCTTTCGACCTTCCACCGACACCCAACGGTCCGTTCGAAAGGAAAGCCCGACATCGAGACGGTGACCACCTCGGAACGCATGCAGATTGTGGACGACGTTTTAGAGGCGCCCGGTGTTCGTCTTCATCGCGGCGGACCGCGGGCGGTTTGTTGGTTCAAGCTGATGGGAACATGAGGGGATGGGAACAAGCGGAATGCGAGCTAGTCCTCGCAGGGCTGGACGAATTGCTCGACCATGTTCTTCCTGCTTTAATTGTTGGGTGGTCAGCTTCTTCAGGCATCATGCGAGTCAACTCAGAAAAAACGAAAAGCCACAGCTTGGCTGGGTGGGGAACGCTGCAGATCTTTTCTCTCATACAGACCGCTGACAGATGAAAATGCACACGTGCAAAATACCCCAAGCGTGCAGTGGTGCTGGGCCGTACGATTTATGGTCCTAGGCTGCGTGGGAATTGGTCGGTCTGAGTTCTACTACAGAGCCCCACAACAAGTGGATTAGAAAAGCACTGACTTTCGTGCAGTTTTGAGCAGCCAAGAGTCAAGAGTTCCTGAAGAACCAAGTGTTTTCTGAGAGTGATCAAATCCCGCCATTGCCCTGACTCCGCAACAAAGAGCACTTGCTTCAACTGGAAAGACCAAGATGGAGAACTCTGAGATGCACCTCGGGATCGCACCGCAGCGCTTTCAGACTGAACCGTCACCCGGGGCGCTGCAGGTCTCCACTAAGCCCGTGTTGTACGACGGTGACACTGGCGGGCCGAAGGAGGCCCGAAACCCTGGGCGGAAGAGTCACACAGGGCAGAGGGCGAGTCGTGGGAAAGAGGGATGAAGACGATTTCGCACAGGGTTCCAGGTGGTTTTCGATGGTCATATACAGTTCATGGTAGTGGGAGTGTACCCTCTCTCGAATATCCTCATGGATGAGGATGCCCTGGCCCCTTGGAAGATGGTTTCACTCTACGTACTACGGTGGTGTCCACTCCCATGTTTGTTGGAGGGAGGGCCATGGTCCTAAAACAACACAAGAAGACAGTGCAATTGCTTGTTGATTGGCACGTCAAACAGTGGAGATAATTGTTTGGTTTTGACAACTCATATGTGTTTGGCTTTTGAGTTCACTTCGGCTGCCATGTGATGGTGTGGGGGCAGCGGGGCTAATCGAGTTCAAAGGCTGTTCTGTTTGTGGAGTGGTTTAATGTGGTTTACACTGTGTTTCAAGGTGGATCGACGAAATCCTTCTTGGCTTTGCATGGTGTTGCGTTGGCCAGTGAGATTTCGCCCAAAACACATCTCCGCAGCGGAACATGGTGAAGCCTGACCTCAAAACCACTTTTGGTAGGAGAAAGGACAACAATCTGCAGACTTTTGGAGTCTCACAATATATGTCAGATCCAAAAAGCTCTTCGCCCCTTCTTCGAGTCTTCATTCCTCTCTTGACACCCTGAAACAAAAACAGGATGGGATCAGGAGCCAAACCCGACCTTCCCAAACCGAAGATCCCTTACAACCTGCTCCGTTCACCCCACGTGGCGGTTTTCTCGCCTCGCCATGACGATGGTCGCCTCGCGGCAGATCTTTGCCTTTACGGTGCGGAAGCTGGAACGTCTGGGCGTGTCGGGCGTGGTCATCGAAGACAAGCACCTGGGCGGCCGGAGCGGAAGGGATCGGACGACGGTGTTTCACCGATGCCGGCGTTCCGGGGGCTGCTAAGCGACGGGAGACAACGGTTTCGGGTGGCGTCGGAAGGTCGTGTTCTGCCGTGATGATGATCCAGGCGTTTTACTTTTTTTCAAGGGGGGGCCGGAGATGGTGTGGAGCCACGGCGAAAACAGGGGGGATATCACACTAACTGAGGTGCGTGTGGTGGCGCGTTTCTAGAAACATTGACCACACCAGGCTTGGGTCCAGTGATGGATGCTGGTTTGGGTCTCAAGCATCCGATCTAAAGAGGACAAGTTCCACAGAGGTCTCACATCTTTCCACAGATGGAAATCTACCAGGGGTCACAAAGGGGTGGTGTTTGGTCCCTAAGTGAGTGGAGTAGCTGGGCACCCCTAACCTCCAAGTTCGGCACCCCTTTGTGACTCCTGGTAGAGATCCTGACGGATCCGCCATGCGAGTGGGGCTTCGAACCAAGCGCGAGTTCACGCCGGGTCAGGACAGGGTGCTTCAGCTGGGCTTCCGAGTGAGAGCGGCCCCCTGCTGACCTGATCGGAGTCTTTTTTGTCTTTTCTCCCTCCAGCTCGGATAGATCCGGTATTGGATGGTAATTGGAAACATCAGAACTCTTGAAATCATCCATCATCCGATATCACGAAAGGTAGCTTGAGCTACCTGAGTTCTCCTTGCTACCTTTCGTTCACCCCCTCCTCTCTCAAGTTCCCATGTGGTTTCTGTACTTCCCCAAACAAGTTACTGTTAGGGGTTCTAAATGCCTTCTAAGAGTGTCCACCTTGCTGTCCGGCTTGTCTCTCTTGGTCTCCCTTCTTGTTGCTCACTGTGTCCCCCTTCTTGTTGGTCACTGTGTCCGCCTTGTCTCCTTTCTGTTTCCTTTTGTCTCCCTTCTTGTCTCCCTTCTTGTTGGTCACTGTGTCCGCCTTGTCTCCCTTCATTCTTTCTTTGTCTCCGGTTTTGTCTCCCTTCTTGTGGGTCATTGTGTCCGTCTTGTCTCCCTTCTGTTGCCTTTTGTCTCCCTTCTTGTCTCCCTTGTTGTCCTCCTTCTTGTTGGTCATTGTGTCCGCCTTGTCTTCCTTCTTTCCTTTACATGTGCCTCCTCTCTCCCCCTCTCGCTTGCACCCTTCACATTTGTCTCCCAGCTGCTCTGCCCTGCAATCCTTTACATTTGTCTCCCAGCTCTGGACTGCTGTGTCCGCCTCTGCCTTTACATTTGTCTCCCAGCTCTGGGCTGCTGTGTCCGCCTCTGCCTTGCAATCCTGGGCTGCTGTGTCCGCCTCTGCCTTGCAATCCTTTACATGTGCTCTAGACTGCTGTATCCGCCTCTGCCTGGCAATCCTTTATTTGTCACCCAGCTCTGGGCTGCATGCGCTTGCAATCCTTTGCATTTTTCTCCCTGCTGTGGCCGCCTCTGCCTTGCAATCCTTTGTCTCCCAGCTCTGGACGTCGCAAGCTCTAGTTGCAGAGTGTTCCGATTTTGAAAAACACAAACTGTTTGGGGTCTACGGTGGTGTAATTTCAGTTGCCAAAACACAGCCAAATTTAGGACCGTGATCTTACTCATCAGACCTTGGAGCAACACGGGCTATTTTACTCAGGAATTGTGTTATTGTGCAAAGCTGGAGTTGTGGGCTTCCAGTATCGGAACAGTTGGGTTTTGTTTCTGGTTCTGGAGCGATTGTTTTAAGCTTGGAAAAGTCACAAAAAGCGGTGACGCTCTTTTTCACCACTTCGAGCCACTGATCATGCGGGTGCATATGAACATCAGCTCATGTTTGACAAAAAGACATTCGGACAATGCCAATGCAAGGAACATTCACCCATGTCCGAGGTCACATGCAGCAATGCTGCCTTCTACACAGCAAGAGGGATCATCAATGCAACAAGAGCTGGCTTCAAACAGGAAGGGAGCTACCACCAAACTCCAAACCAAAAAGAAAAATGTCTTCGCTGAAAATCCCAAAGTATTAACACATTCTATTTTGTTTGACTCCAGTTCATGGATTTGTTTTTGAGACTCTTAAGGAATCTATCAAAGAACATTTTGTGAACAATTTTGTTTCCGGATGTGTTGCTTCAGTGCACTTCAGTTTCCGGTGATTGCATTTTATGATGTTGTTGTGCATTTTTGTCAAGACAAAGCACGAAGACGAAGCACAAAACAGCAAACACAGGTACGATGATAAGACAAACACGTTGACAGAATCTAAACTTAAACACTGTAATTTATATGTGATTGAGCACGCCAGGTCATAGGTTGTAAGCAATCGGATGCGTGACAATCGACTTTCCGATTCGATTTTCTTTTTGAGATCTTCTAGTCTGACGATTGACTGTTGGGACTTTTTGGACTCCCTTTGTGGCTCAGTGTGAGTGTATAAGTGTTGCTGGAGCACCTCGTAGCGTGGAATTTTCTGCCGCCATGGCTCAGCAATGGTCCGATGCAGATGAACAGAAACTGCAGGACATGGTTGCAAAGAAGATAGCATCAGTTTCCGCTGGAACTGGCAGTGTTTTGTGATCTATGACGGATGGGAACAAAAGAATATTTCAGCTGCTCATCACTAGATACATTCTCATGAACAGACGTGTGTTCCATGTGTTCCATGTGGTGGTCTTGTGGATTGCCAGTTGGTTGACGGTTGCGTTCTGCTTTCGTCCCGCCTGACAGGATGTCCCCAAGGGTTCCGCCAAGACTGGGAAGGACAGGTGAGTTTTTTCATCTATTTTTCAGCCTGCCTAAACAGTATCAGATAAAAAGGGACTCAAGTGCTTGTTGCATCTCTTCTTCAAACTTTGGTGGATGGTGGCATTTCCTCAGTTTACAGCAAGTCAATAGGATGACATGCCTTCTTTTGGTTCCATTCACATATCTTGGCTCGTTTTCGGGTCTCCAAGGGACTGTAAGTCGGCGTGCATGCATTCATCATGGCAAGATCCGAAAGCAGATCCGTTCCAACGTGCATCTCAATCAGATTGATTTCAAGGGCGCTACATAACTTCTTACATAACTATCCAGTTCTACCTGACAGTACATCAAAGCAGAGTGTGTACAGAGTTTCCCGGCAAACTTAGCCTCCAAAAAAGACTTTGGATCATGAGATGATTGTATACTTTTTTCCAGCGATTTGTTGCCAAACAGAGAGGAAAGACTCTCTCCAGTGAGTTGGATGTTTGAAGACCTGACTCCTTGCTTGGATGTGGTGCTATGAGGTACAAATTGGAGATCTACTGCAGTGGCTGTAGGTTTCCAGCAACTTTGGAGCTAAAAACTCTCTCAGTTGTGTTTTTTTTTTGCAGAGTTTGGCATCAACTTTGGTACTTGGGTAATGTGGTCCCCAGGGCTCCAAAGGCTCTGGGTTGTCGCGGTGTCTCCCCTCGTGCACCGCACAGCCACTGGAGGAGGGGGACCAGCCGGTCCGCCCCCGGCGGCAGAAGACCGCCTCTTCTGCCGCCGACGAAAAGGGGC